CCTCCCCTTCTCACTCCTCTTGTTCTCCCCCCCACTGCCGTCTGGTAGATGTGGACAAGCTCAACCTCCTCCCGCCCCTCCTCCCACCTCTTTCTCCTGACCCCCACCCAAAGCAGCCGACTTTTAGGGACTCCCATTGTCCAGAGAGCCTTCTCCAGGGAATGAAACATCTTCAGCCTTTGGAAAAAGGAGCTGGGGAAGGGAGGTAGTGATGGCGGCTAGGAAATCTTGGAAAGGTGTGGAGCTTGAAGATGCAGCCCTGGAGGCTTACAGGGTAAAGAAAAGAGTGAGGAAGGGAAGGTGGGGATACAGGCACTGGGAAGGCTTCAGGCTAGCATTTTTCTTGTTTGTGTTTTATCGACTCCGTTATTCTTCTCTTTCTCCCCCCCCCATAATTCTAGTTATTTCCTACCTTAGGACTCGATTTCCTTACTCTAGAGTTATTCAAAAATCCCCTCTCACTAAACCAATCTTGGTGTTTTATCCTGACTTCAACTCCCTTTTCCTTCCCAGATAGAAGTATTTTTAATCTTTTTAAAAGAATTTCATAATTTACCTTGGCTTCCTCATTTAATAGTCACCAGTCAACTTTTATCTCTTTGAGAACATTGACCCCGCCTCTTAAGTGTCAGAGGTTATTTGAAGATGAAGGAGTCCTTCCAAGGAAACCAGTGCTGGGGGCCAGCTCCCCCTGGAACATCCCCAGTCCTTCTATCTTCCAGGCCAGAGTGCCTCTGAAGGCTCCCACTCCCAAAACACTGTTAAATGAAGTGGGAGGTTTGGACGGGACACAGGGACAAAGATCACAGTTCCTGCCGACTTCTTCCCCCTTGGCCCTGCTTTGATAACTGCAGCCAGTGAAGAGGATGAGGATGATGAAGAAGAAAAGAAGAAGGGCCTAACAACTTCCCCAAACCGAGGTAGAAACACCTCAGCACTGCTGTCCTCCCTCTCTCCTCTTTGTCCTCCACCCAGTAGAGCTTATTGTCAGCAATATGACTGATCTATGAGAGCCTTTCAAAAGCTGCTGTTCTCTAAGAGCTCCTCCTTGACATACCATTGGAAATTGTGGGGTCAAGTGAGGGGATCTAAGTGCCCTCCAAGAACCTTCTCCCTTCTAGGAAGGGGGAGCAGCCCCTTCTGCCACATCCTCCAGCTGCAGACTTTACTGACCAAGGAAACTTTCCAAGCTGGGCTGGGGCTCTTAGGAGAATTGAAGTCTGAAGAAGAGATCGAATGGTCTTTTCTCAGTCCTCATCCTTCCTGACCTCTCTGCATCCTCTGACACTATCTAGAATTCTCTTCTCCTCTGTAAGCAATAAAAGTTTTACCAAGAATTCCACAAAGCTATTGGTGAACCAGAAAAACTCATTAACGGCCTAGCAAACCTGGGTGTCCCATGTGTAGGCACAGGTTTGAGACAGATACATAACTTTTTGTTCCTTATTCCCGTTCCCATTAATTCTACTCTGTCCTGGGTCTCCTCCCAACCATCTGACTGGTCCTTTCCACTCTTCTTTGCTGGACTTTCATCCAGGTGAAACCAGTTAAAAGTGGGTCTGCCCTCTGCCCTCTTCTCTTCTGCCTCTATATTGTTTCACTTGGTGATCTCAGTCTCCTCCTATAGACTGAATTATCATCTCTATGCTGATGATTCTCAAATCTACTTATCTAGCCCCAACCTCTTTACTGACCTCCAGTCTCACATCTCCAACTACCATTGGACATTTTGAATGGGAAATCACACAGACAGCTTAAACTCAACACCTCCAAAATGGAACTTATTATCTTTCCCCTCCCCAATCCTCCATTTTTTCAAATTTCACTATCACTGCTGAGAGCATCACAATTGTCCCAATCATCCAGGCTGGCAATGTAGGTGCTATATTTAACCCTTCACTGTCCTATCCTCCCCTCCCCCTGTGAAATTTGTTGCCAATGCCTGTTGATTTTACCTTCATAAAATCTCTCAGACATACCCTTTTCTCTCCTTTGAAATTGCTATCATTCTGGTGCATGCCCTCATAAACTCCAGCCTTGACCATTGCAGTAATTCATGTTGCTGGTTAGTCGGGCTCTCCCCCATGCATGGAATGCTGTCCCTCTTCATCTCACCCTCCACTCCCCTTCAGGTTCCACCTAACATACCACCTTCTGCATGAAACCTTTTCCATTCCCTCTTAATTCTTGTTTCTTCTCTTTGTTGATTATTTTAATTTCTCCTGTATGGCATGGTTTTGGTTTTTTTTTTTTTGGCAATTGGGGGTCAGTGACTTGCCCAAGGTCACACAGCTAGTAAGTGTTTTGTCTGAGGTCAGATTTGAACTCAGGTCCTCCTGATTTCAGGGCCATGCTCTATCCACTGCCCCACCTAGCTGCCCCTGTGGCATGGTTTTTTGCATGAATTCTCACCCTTTGAACTATGACCTCCTTGAGAGCAGGGAGAGTATTTTGTTTTTCTCTGTAACCTAAGTGCCTTACATAGTGCCTTAATAGTAACTTTATCAATTTCCTCTTCCATCTGCAGCTCTGTTTGACTTTGACTCCAGAGAATATTTTGACTCCTCCTCCCAGGAGAAGCTGGTCACTTGAGATCTCCTCACTGGAAGAAAAATTTAGGTTTTGATAGTCTTCACCTTCCCAACTCACCCTCAATGACTTTCCTTTCTGTGGCTAATTGTACTCCCTCCTCTCTCTTACTAAGGAATGGTAAACCCTGGGAATAATATCAGGAATCCCACCAAGGGTAGCTATTAATTCCCTTATAAGCATTTAATTTATTTTATTTAATTTAACTCAAAACTTTGAAAAAAAAAGCCAATAGACTCCTTCCTCACTCCTCCTAGAAGTCAATCTCACCATAGGTTTCTCCCTTTTCTGGTAGCAGGCAGATCTGAGATACTGAACAAGTCACCCTTGACACAGTCAATCACTTTATGTTACATTACATTAATCCACAGAACAGCAGGATATATTAACCCAATGATATCATTGTGAAATTAGGCTAACTCAGGCATTCATGGAGCCTCATGGTGTCTCCTGCTATGTGGGTCCCTGGTTTCTCCTGTCTCATGAAGATGAGCATGGCCAGGGCACAAATTTGTTTCCTCTCCCACATGGGACTTGACATAGCTGAGGATCATACTACCTTGCCTCACCTTAGGTTTTTATCATCTTTAAGAACAACGGATGTTCTCACTGCTCCCCAAGCTCAGCCTCAGGCCTGGATACATCTGTGAGCTGGTCAGATTCAAAGAGTCAGGAGACTACACATGCAGAGGGGTAGCTCTCACCACCTTCTCAGGAATTTTTGCAGGAAAATTTTAAAAATATACAGGTTACTAAATTGAGTTCATACTCAGAACATTCTCCTATCTGAACTCTGACACCAGTGGTTGAACTTTTTGGTCTCAGGACACAAATACACTTTTAAAAATTATGGAGAACCCCAATATGATTTTGTTTATGGGTTATAGCTATTGATATTTACTATATGAGAAATTAAGACTGATAAATTTAAATTAATTCATTAATTCAATTAAAACAATAATAAACCTATTACATGTTACTAAGACATTTAAAATTAAAAACAACTTTTAAAAAAAATATCAGTAGGAAGTGCTATTGTTTCTACATAACTGTGGAAATCACTTCACTAACTGCCTTAGTAGGACAAAGCTGGATTCTCATGTCTGCTCTCCATTCAATCTGCTGCAACCTGTTGTTTTAGCTGAAGTACATAAAAAATCTGGACTCACACAGGTATATAGTTGGAAAAGGAAGGTTTATTTTAGGATGCAAATAGAGAATTAGAACAATTATGTAAATAATTGTGACCTATGAAGACCCTTAAAAGAGTATTGGAGACTGAGAGGCACCTGATTGCGCAGTGGATAGAGTTCTGGGTATGGAGTCAATTAAAGATGGGCTTAAATCCAGCTTCAGATATTTATAAATTGTGAGACCCCGGGCAAGTCACTTACCCTCTTTTTGCCTCGGTTTTCTCAACTGTTAAATGAGGGGTAACAATAGTACCTGCTTCCCTGGGTTCTTGTGAGAATCAGTGAGATGACATCTGTAAAAAGCACTTAGCATAGTGCCTGGCACGTAGTAGCACATAGTACCATATTACAGCTTTTCCCCTCCCTCCCCTCTTCCAGAGATCCTTGGATTACAAATTAAGAACTGCTGGATTAAATGGTCTTTGACATTTCTCTAGGTTGTGGATTTATGCTCTGTGGTACCGTGACATAGCTTACATGGATAGCAATGCTGGTTGCCATCTATTCCCCAGGGGAGTAATGAAGAGTAATCTCTGATTAGACCACAGGACTCTGTGTCCATCAGTCAGCCCTCCCTGTTCTCCCAAATCCCTTTAGCAGAATCATTTTACTGGGGAAAAGAAATATAAGAAACATAAAAAAGTAAAACAAAATCTTAGAATGTGGTGTGACCAGGAAGATGAGGAAGAGTCTTTCATTGTATCGCTAGTTCCTCTTGGCCATAGGGAGAGGACAAGGGAAGAGGCAGTGAGGAGATGGCATCCTTCTGTCTGGATGCCCTTCCTAAATAGCACCCCCCCCAATAAAGCCCCCCTCAGCAGCTGCCATCCATCTGCAGTTATTCTATCAGACCAGATAACTCCATTTTCATTTGCCTGGATCTTAATTAAATGCTAGGCACAGTTTTTATACCTACCTCATCCCCTCTCCCTTTCCCTATGGCAGACCCTTTGGATACCTAAACATAGGACAGATGTGTGTGGGATTAGGAAGATTAGGGTGTAACACAAACTCCATTAGTGGCTCTAAGGGCCAAGGCTCTTCTTGAGGAGGATCCCTAGGTTGTCCTAGGGGTCAGAGCCCTGACATGTAGAATCCCCCAGACATACGTGCTCTCACCCTCTCCTCTGAGGTCAGCATTTCTGCTCCTTCCTTTCCTCCCACTTCCCCAACCATAGCTTTGCCCACTCTCTCTTACTTCTTCTTTCCTCTTAGAATCATGCAGTGGAGAATCCAGACCAACACCCTCCTGCCATACAACAGCCCAAGGACTGTATGAAGAGACCACCTCCCATGTCCACTGCCTCTGGACCCACAAAGGCATGATGGCCCAGGCAGCCCCACTGCTACTGCTCCTGCCTTTGCTGTTAATGGGTATCTGGGGGTGGGGGAGGTTAGGGAAGGGTAGAGGTGATGACTGACAGGGAGCAGAGAAGAGAGAGGAGAATGGCAGAAGGGAGGGAGTACAATGTTGTGTTGCAATGAAGGACTGGGAAGGGACGGGAGCAGTCATGTGGTGGAGCCAGCTCACATTGGCTTGGAAGAGCTGATTGTTCAATTTCCAGTGAGTGCCTTTGGAAAATTGGCAAACACTGCATAGAAATGAAGAGGTGATTTATTGTTTAGTTAATTGGCTAGTCTTAAAAAAGGGATGGAGAAAGTGTTAATAATGCAGATTAAATTTTAAAATGTATCAAGAGTATATATATGTACATGCATATGTTTATATAAAGTGAGAGAGAAGGACAAGCAAGAAAGAAGGAAAGACAGAGAAGGGGGAGGGAAGAAGAGGAAGAGGGACAGAGGGAGGGAAAGAGAAAGAATTGAGACAACTAGTTGTTAATTGTTTACTAGCACAGCACTGATTAGGAGGGTCCCTTGGGTGAGGGGCTGTCTCTTCAATGCATGTTTTCTTAGAAAAGGATGTTATTTAAAGAGACCAGACCACCTTACCTTGTTTCTATTCTTTGGGCAAGGAAGGGAGGGGACTGAAGGGAGGCTCAGCTGGGCTCACTCTGACCTGATGATCTGCTTTTCAGGTTCACAGGGACAAGTGTTCCCAGTGAAGTACCAGGAGGGGCAGACACTCAGAGTGAACTGCAGCTACAATCCCCAGAGAGCTGAGAAGAGGTGGAAAACCTGGTGTAAAGTGAGAGAAGATGAACAGTGGTGTACAACAGTAATTATCAGAAAGTCAGGCTTCCCTGAGCAACGTGGGGACTCACGAGCCTCCCTGGCAGATGACACCTACACTGGTAGAATCACCATCACCATGTCTAACCTCAGGGTGAACGACTCAGGCATCTATTGGTGTGGAATCCGTGACTCTGTCAGGAACAGTATTGATATTCTCAGGACAATCAGGCTGGAGGTTTCTCCAGGTAAGTCCCTGCCAACTCAATCCCCTTCAGTTCCAGCAGAGCTTAGGAAATACCTGGTGTGAACATGACCCTGAGCTAGGATGTGAGCTTGGGTCTCCTTGGGGTCTCCAGGGAGAAGCTGCTCCCCCTCCTTCATTCCTTCACCTTCCTGCCCCTCCCCATTCCTGTACTCTCCTCACTTCCTTCCAGACCACGGTTATGATGGTAGCTCCTCTTCTGGTCCCTGGGAAAAGCAAGGCATTCTTTTCCGTGATCTCATTCCCATGCAGAGCAGACATTTTTCCCATGGCTTTGAAGTCATGGGTGTCCTGTATCACACACTCACACTCATTCATACAAATGTACCTGTGGCTTACACAGGCACAGACACACATAGGATCCTCCCAGTGTATACACAGACACACAGAATTGTGTCTCACCGATTTAGGGTGCTTGAAGCTCTAGACCCAGGAGACAAGGGAGAGGAGGATGGTTCAACCAGAGGTATTGATGGAGCAGATCTTAGCAGGTTCTGATGGAAGAGTATAGACATAGGGTCAAGTTTTAGTTGTGAAACTGACTTATCTTGTGACCCAGAGAGGTCATTCTAACTCTATTAGACTTAGTCTCTCATTTGTAAAATGGAAGTGAGGGGAAGGAGATTGCAATTGTAACAATGAGTGTGGGAAATACTCTTTATGAAATATAACTGCTCTACATCTGGGAATTTTTAGTATTGCCTTCTTTCTGATTACCAATCACACCCAACTCCTAGGTGTAGAGGAAGCATCCTACAGGGATAACCTTGGTCAGGCTATCAGAGAGCCTTTGGGCGGCAAAGAAGTCTGATGGAGACATTAGCAGTAAAAACCATAGTCTAGAGTACTTGACAATACATAAGGAATGGAATATGATACACGACAAAATATTAGCTCAGAGCATGCATTCATATGATATCTAAAGCTTTTTCAAGGCCTAACACTTCTTTGGGGCCAGCTGTCTAATTGTTCTGGCTTCTCTCGGGTCAAGCAGGCATGGGAGTGTGTGAGGTGAAGAGCCAACTGTTTTCTTCCTCTGTTCTTCTTTCAGCCACAACATCAAAGACCAACAAACATTCTCAAACTACCACTGACTCACCTCTCACCACCTCTGCCATGCCTTTGGCCACCAGCAGGTACAATTCCTTTTTGGAAATCCATTGTGTCTCAAGATCTCCCACCCTCAGCAGTTTATGTGAGGCTCACTTGTGCTGTCCCAAACTTCTAGTCTGAAGTGACCTCTTTCCAGCTTTCCACTCTGGATGGAAGAACAAAAGGGTGAACAAAGGGACCTGGCCAGGGGTTCCCTTGGGTCTAGTGAAACTGTACTTACTAGTTTCCCCTCCTTCTCTCATTTTCAAATTTGGAATGGCTTGAACTGTGATTTCTTTTAGCCCTTGCCTGATGTTGTTCAGTCCTGAATCCACACTGCCTTGTGTCCTGTGCTAAGCTCTGTCCCTCCTGTATTTTTGACAATGGGTATTGTTTATCATACTTCTTCACCTCCAGATAAACCAAACAAATCCCCAAATTCCTCTCTGTTAAACAACTCTCTCCTCTTGATAAGCTAGGCAGCATTGCCTCATGACTGATGGGCAGAGTTCTGGCTATGTCACCCCAGAAAGCTCTGGCGGCTGCCTGTGACTTTCAGGATATAATCCAAACTCCTGGGTTTGCATTTGACACTCTTCAGACTCTGGCTTCAGCCAACTTTTCTAGATTCAGAGAACCTTGTTGTATTCCACACCCTCCATGTTCCACTAAAACAGTCTTCCTTGCTTTTCCTCACACACAACATGCCAACTCTCATTTCTAAGCCTGTGAACTGTCTCTGTCCCATACTTCAATGCAAGCCCTCCTCACCTCAGCCTTTAATTACCTGGAGCTTCCTTCAAGGCTCAACTCAAACACTTTCAAAGAGACTTTCTTCATTCCCCCTAATTGCCACTGACTTCCCTAAACATTTCTTTGTATTTATCTGGTTGAATGTTGCATCTACTTGTTGGTGAATGTGTTCACATTTCCCCAGAACACAGGGAAGCTCCTTGCAGGGCTACATCACTTCATTTCTATCCTGCTCTCCCACCATCTAGGACAGCTCCTGGCTCTGGGCAGGCACTTAATTCATAAACACTCCTGGATTCATTCAGAGACCTCAGCCCTGCCTTGGGGCCCTGTGATAAGAGAAAACTAAACAGAACAAATCAAATCTTCAGATATGCCAAAGTCACAAAGGGAGGAGAAGTGGTGACTAGGATTCCTACTGAAGGATGTTTTGTTTTTCCTCTCTCTTCCCTTCCCTCTCCTTGGTGGCTGGCCCTCATTACCTCTTTGTTCTTTTATTCTCTGAAGCCTAAGACCTGTTGGTGTTCCCTTGAGGAGCCAGGGAGCCCTCCTCTTCTTCACCCTCCATCCATTAACCCTTTACAGTGGACACACTGTGCACCAAATGTAGACAGTACCTATTGATGATTCTATCAGCAAGTCAGCCAATAAGTTAACTGGAATTTATTAATGCTGTATGCTGAATACTATGCTAAGCTCTGAGGATACAGAGGAAGGAAAAGACCATCTCTGGTGTCAAGGAGCTCACAGAAAAACGGGGGAGACAAGATGCAAACAATTCTGTAGAAAAATCTATGTACTGGATAAATTATACAGGAGATAGCACACATAGGAGACAATCAGCAGCGGGAATGTAGGAACCTCCACAGGTAGGGCTAAGGCCTAGACCTAAGGAGTCACTCACTTCACCACCATACCCTCTGCCACATCCCAGCTTTATCTCACTTTTCTTGTTTTACTCTCTCCCATAGGCCATCACACTCTTCCATTTTCTCCAGTTCCCCAGTTGTCCAAGTACTATGTGTGCTCGTTGTGACCAAAGGCCTAGTCCTCACAGCTCTGCTTGTTCTGTCCAGTAGGTGAGTGGGGACCCTCAATCTGACCTCATTTTAACTCCACCAGGAAGCATGGCCTTTTCAATCTGCAGACAGAAGCAGCTCCCTTGAGCCCCAAGCTCTGAAGGAAAGATGCCCAGGCATTTCTAAAAGTCTCATTCTTAGTGCCAGACCTGAGGTAGTATGGCTGAGAATTCCTTGAAAAACCAACAGTGATAAACAAACAGGAGGAAATGTCATCCTGAATATAAAGAACTGTTTCTGAAATTGTCCCGAAGGCTGTAAGCTGGAGGTCATGAGAAGGGCTTGCAGGAGACACACTGAGCTTGTATCCCAAATGAGAGGGAAGGATATGAGGTAATGAGAAACTGGAAATGGAGGCCTGTTCAGTTTTTTCTTTTCCTCTCTGTCATTGATTCTTCTCCTACAGATGAGGTCTCTACCTAGACATTTGTCCTGGGTGGATTGGGTGAGAATTGAAAACAAGAGGAAAAAAAGGAATAATATCAGGCTGAAGGAAAATCAGGATATATTTATTATCTGAACTTTCTCTTCCTTCCTCAGGTAAAGGAAGGAGTCACTCGGAGCTTTCTCAGGATCAAAATGACCTGAAATGAAATGAATTCATTGCAACGTACATCCCAAACTGATGCATATTCCTGCCATCTTGAGCTTGGCTCAGGCCACAGGCAATATGGGGATATCCCTTTCGGGTCAGAGCAACCAGCCACCATACCCATGCTGATTCCCTGCCCAGATCCTTGAAGCTGTTTACATGCCTTTTCAGTTCTGAGTGGACCTCAGAGCTCACCTCTTTTTTTCTTTTATGATGTGAAGCTCCCCATGTCTATTCCTGGCATTCTTATTACTCGGTAGATGGGTCAGTCTGTTTCTCTTAGGCCTTAGAATGACTCCTCATTGCCTTTGAAATGAAGTTCAAAATCCAAGTACTCAAGACCTTTCATGGTGTGGCCCTCAAATATAGATCCAATCTTCTTTCTCACTATTTACCTGAAGAGACTCTCCCCTATGGCCAAGTTGGGCTCTTCACGTTCTGTAGAACATCATATAAAACTCAAGTATAAATGGGAGCCACTAACCTATACATAAGGATCTCTGTGTGCTATGTTTTGACTTATAAAACCAGTTATTAACAGTATCTGTATTATATTGTATTTTAATTTATTTTCTTTACCTATTTCCCAATTACATCTTAATCTGGTTCAGGATGCACTTGGGAGCATTGTGGGAGGTATGCAGCCCAAATGCACATTTGGACACATCTACTCCAGAACAGGGTCATGTTCACCTGCCTACATTGCTCTTTCCTATTCTCCCTATTTCTAAGGTCCTGCTGCTTAGGAACCTGTGTAGGACCTATTTATTCATTGGAACACTTTAGCAATCTTAATTCCTTTAAGAAGACGTGTGTGATCTCACAACCAGATTTGAGGCCCCCTTCCTCTTAAAATCCACTGACATTCTCTTTCTCCTTTCATAATATTTATCATTCCTCAACTTGTACTGTCCCAGGGTGAGCTCTTATAGACCAGGGGATCTCAGCCTGGGTTATGTGACTTCTTTCCATAAATATTTTGAAAAGTAGTTCCAATACAGTTATTTTTTCAGGCAGCTAGGTGGCACAGTGGAGTACTTGGCTTGGATTCAGGAAGACTCATTTTTCTTAGTTCAAATCTGCCCTCAGACACTTACTAGCTGTGGGACCCTGGGCAAGTCACTTAACCCTGTTTGCCTCAGTTCCTCATCTGTAAAAGAAGCTGGTGAAGGAAATGGCAACTCTCATGTACCCTGAACCCAAATGGGTTCACACATAATTGGACATGACAGAAAACTGACTGAATAACATTTAGTCCAGGGGTTTTGTTTTTCTTCCTATCTTGAGGGTGAGTTCAGATGTGAGGAAAGAGTAGAAAGCAGGCAGAAGAAAAATGGCATAGATTTTTGTTACTTAAAATTTTTTTTAAAATTTTAATAAAAGAAAGAGAATAAGGACTTCTAATAAAGAGAGATCTGAACAGGGAATAGGTACCCCTCACATAACCAGAGAAGGGTTTTGAGAATTTAGGGATCTCAGCATGGCTTTGTTACATCCTGTTTTGTCAAGTTATTATGTCCTGATTTGGGTAATGTTGTGAAAAAGGTCTTTTGACAAAAGGTGGGGAGGACTTAGGACAAGTCACAAATAAACACACAATTGTGGATCTCCTACATCTATGGACTAAATAGCTCCCATCAGAGAAGGTGCTGTGCTCTGTGAGCAAAGCAGAATTGAAACAGCTCAAAGGAAACACAGGATGTGCAAATGTAGAGAATCTACCCCAAATGTTCACAGGAACTATCTGTGCCCAACCTGTGGTAGAGCATTCAGAGCTTGTATTGGTCTGATCAGCCACAGCTGGACACACTGAAACTTGTCTCTAGCATACTGATACCATTTTGGTCCTCTTTTAGAACTTAGGATGAAAACCAACCAACCAGTATCTATTAACTCGGAAAACTCCAGTAGTTCTAGCACCCTAGCACCCAAGCACCCAGGTGCGCGCGCGTGTGCGCGCGCGCACACACACACACACACACACACACACACACACACACACACACACACTCTTATGGATTCATTCATTCATTTCTACAGTCCATTGCTACCACACAAGAGGAATGTTTCCTCAGGGTACCCAGACTGGCACCCTCATAAAAAACAAAGCAATTCCTGAGCACTGGGCTCTCTGGTACAAGGGCATTCACAAAACATCTTCCACTGTATCCATTTTGAGAAAATTCCCCATCTTTAGGGTATTTCATCAAGGCTTCCCTCCCTTTTCTCCCAAAGGAGGAATGTCTATATCATACAGATTTTTTGAAGGCATTTGGTGGTTAACATCACAGATGATAAAGAAGAGACTATTCCACTGAAAGGTAAAAGAGATAAGAAATAAAAAACAGGATAAGAAAGGATGGGTTTGGTTCCTTGGAGGATCAATGAATCAAGAAGACTAGTGTAGGAGTTTGGATTGGAGTATCCCTTACCAAGCAGGAGTAGGGACAGGACTACACAAACTAGCCCATGAATCACAGGCTGGGCTCTCCTGGCAACTTCTGGGGAAACATGAGACAAAATAGAAGGAACAGACACTTGGGGATGATGCAGTCTCTGTGAGACTCCTTTTCTCCTTTGCCCACCATGGCTACAGCAGAATAGGGGGATGTGTCCACATTCTACCTCTGTAAGGGGCAATCTCACCATAGATTGGCAGTAGGCAGATCTGAGACACTGACCAAGTAACTCTGGACACAATCAATGAGTTTGAGTTACGGACACTTAATCTACAGGACAGCAGGCTGCATAGAGTCAATGATATCATGGGGGTGTCGAGCCAGAAGAGACATTCATGGTGCTTCAGCTGCCTGGGCTCTCTTGTCCCATGGAGATGAACATGACCTTCCCCTTATTCCTAAATCCACTTTAGCCAAATCCCTTCCCTGAAGCTGGGAAAAGGGCTGATAAGGCTGAGTGGAGAGGATCTAGTGTGAGCACAAAGAAGAGAAGTGGCAGTCTCTCATTTGCCACTGGCCCCTCCTGGCCATACGAAGAGGTTAATGGTAGAGATAGTGAGGAGATCCAGGAATATCCATCTGCTTCTGCCACAGATCTCCTTCCTAAGTATATATCCCAGTACCTCTAGCAGCTACTGTCCATCTGAAGTGCTCCCTCTCAGGCCAGATAACGCCTTTTTCATTTGTCTGAGCCCTGATTGAATCCCAGAACCAATGCTAGCATCTTTGTCCCCTCATTCTCTTCCCTAACCCCAGATTCTTTGGGGTCTTAAACATAAGGTTCATGGGTGTGAGAACAGAAAACCAGTGCAATAAGACAAGTTCCACTTGTAGGTCAGTCCTTCTACAGACCAAGGTAGGAGCTTGAGGTCAGTCTCAGGGCTTATGGAGGTAGAGGCAAGATGGCAGACTAGCAGGAAGACAGACAGACAAGCTCCTCTCCACAAAATTCCTCCAAAAAGACCTAGAAAAGGCACCAGACTGAATCCTGATGAGGAAATCCAGAGCAAGTCCCATTGAGTCATTTGTCCAGCTCAAGGTATCATAGAGAGACAGACAGAGAGGCCTGTGGACACTGGGGATGGGATTAGACCAGAACACTCCAGTGCCCAGGAAGAGGCCGTGCACCAGGTCAAGAGGATGTCCTATATCCACACCAAAGCATGTGAGACCAAGACCAGGGCACTGTAGAGGAGACAGGTGCCAACTGTCAGCTTTGCTGTCCATTTACCCAGTTCTGGGTCATAGATCCAGGGCAGATTGAGAAGAGGCCCTGCCCATGAGGTTGGTGTCCCAGGGTAGGGAGGCCCTAGGTGATGTCCTGGCCTACTTAGAAAGAAGAAGTTCCAAAGCAAGGAGCAGTATTATGGCTCAGATTCCAGGAACAGAGCAGGGTTTCAGTTCCAGCATCTAGCCCAGCCCACAGAGCAAGAAGCAGGGCATGGATACCAGACCAAAGGACAGCCTATAGTTCTGTCCCTATGAACCAACAAAGCCTTCCAGATGGCAAAATGAAAATAGAAAGAATTCACCAATCACTTTATAAAAGAAGCATCAAATTACAAACTCTCAGGAACATGATAGCCCAAATCCAAACCAAGTCAAATTAAAAAAACAAAAAAGTGTAAACACGCAAAAAGAAAGATTTAGAATACCAAGCTACTATACTCAGGATCCCACCACCATCCTCTCAATCACCCAGGCTGGTAAATTTCCTGTTATCTGGACTCCTCATTCTCACTCACCACGACCACCACTCCCATGTTCCTGTACCTAATCTGCTGCCATGGTCTGTTGCTTTTAACCCCCTAATATCTCTCTCATTCACCCCTTCCTGCTGCAGACACTCATCTCCTCATTCCTGTTCTACTGTAATATCCTGCTGGGTACCTCAGGTCTCTGCCTCCTCTACCTTCCTCTGAGCTGTCAAAAGTTACCTTCCTAAAGCATAGGTCCCACCATGCCCAACCCCTAATCAATATACCCTGGTAGCTCCCCACCACCTCCAGGAGCAAATATACAATACTCCAGCATTCAAAACCTTTTTTTAATTAATTAATTTTTGTTTTCACCTTTCACTTCCACAAGATTTTGAGTTCCAAATTTTCTGCCCACATTTTTCCTCCTTAATCACACAGGCCTATGCTCTGGTCTATGAATGACCACAAGCACTCTTTTCTGCCTTGGAACTGTGAGGAGGATTCCCTCTCCACTTCACCCCAGGACCACCACCCAGAACTGAGACTCAGATCCTAGCACCTGCAAAGCAAGGGAATCCTGCCTCAGTACCAGCAAAGAGAGATGGAGTAGAGCAATCCCTCTCTGACCAGTTGCTTGATCCCCTCCCCCACTGTCTGTGGGCCAAGAGCTCTGGAAGCAGCTGCCGCCCTGGGGCTGCACTAGGGCTGGGGCCAGACCGTGGTCCTGTCTCATCCAGGTCTGACAGACCCTTCCTACTAACCTTCTAAGTTATCTTTGGTGTTTATGGGTTGAGAAGTCTGGAAACTGTCACAACTACCCTTGATTCAGTCCCCTGAGGCCTGCTTCAGGTTTGCTGAACCCTGGTCTTTGCCTGCATGGCCCACCTGAACTGCACTCCTCTCCCAGCCCAGTGAAATAGACCTTTCCAATCAACCATCCAGGTTATCTTGGGCTGGAAATTTGTTTCATTCTGTCTTTTTGTGGGTTCTGCTGCTCTAGAATTTGTTCAGAGCCGTTTTTTACAGATAGTTGGAGGTGTTTGTGGGAGAGCTCAAGCAAGTCACTGCTTTCACTCCACCATCTTGGCTCCGCCCCACCCCATTCAAAACCTTCTTACACATTACAACCATCTTCCACACCTCCACCCCAGACCGGGATTACCACGGTCCTTCCACTTACATAATCTAGGATCCGAAGGCCTGCCCTCGTACTCCATCCCCGGACTTGGGGCATTTTCCCTGGAAGAGCTCCACGCATATAATGCTCTCCTTCCTCATCTCTGCCTCCTGGCTCGCATCACCTAAAATCCCAGCTCCTACGGGAAGCTTTTTTCATTAACCTTTAATTCAAGTTCCTGCCCTCTGTTCTTTTTCCCCAATTCAG